AAAATTGAAGATGAGTATAATTTATTTTTAGTTTTTTGTCTGTAGTTTGAGGATCTTAGGAAAAATACATCCCAAGATGATATTTTACATTCAATTTGCCATCATATAATAAATTCATAGAATTGATGATGACGGTTGACAGTCACATACTACATGGCAGCTTGTCTATATCATTCCTTAAAACTAAAATATGAAATTTACAAAAACCTTGTGTGATTTTGGTACATGTTTTAAAATTATTATTTGTTCATGCAATCTGTATCTTTGGGTCCACGGGTTTTGAATTACAATAAATAAATAAATTACAATATTCAAATGTCAACTAAAAAAGAAGAGTATTTCAACTACAGTATATACCCACATCAGCAGGCCGGACCGACGTATTTTATGGATAAGAATTTGTCAAACAGATTCTCGCGTTTGTTGTTGAAAAAGTGTGACGAGTTTGTTATGTTAAAAATAGTATAAAGAGGCTCTTATAGTATTAACATCATTATAATGATAATAAGGCATCACAATGATAATTTCATTGTTTTACCATTCGGTGATATATATCCCTTTCTGTGCACAATGAACAAAGTGAGAAGAGTACTCATATTTGTCATAAATTATCATTAAATACATTAAAATAAAATGGAATAAGATATAAATACATATTTAAAAAATAAGAAAATATAATACAATAAAAACAAACAAACTAAGATTTAATTTCCCCCCACTGACTACTGAGCATGTCGTTACTTCACATATGTACAATGAAAAAAAATACTTTCACCATAGAAACCAGTGCACATTTTTGTAATGCAATTTTCCCTATATTTCGCATTCTTTTTTGTGAAAAAAATATTGGGTGACACATTTTTTCCTGATAATAATGTTGGAACGAACATCAATCACCGTGACCAATGACCCTGAATTGCACGGGTGTCACGTGACTTACATCAACATCAACATGGCGGACGTAGATTTTAGATTGGTGAACGTTATAATTCTCGGCTTTGCGTTTATGTTTTTATTCACTGCTTTTCAAACGTCTTCGATGATATCGGTAAGTGTTTACTTGATATACATTAATACTAATAGAGTTGATATATCGATTCTACGTTGTGTCTGAACGTATTATCAACTACGGTCATGGCCGAGGGTCACGATGGCCCATTGTCTTGTGTTGTTGATCACTCATTGAAATACATGTACTCATAATTAACATGGACGCCTTCTAACCGACTATACAATAACACGGACCACTTCGGGTTGTTATTCATACAAAATAAATCATTTTAAAGCATACGTTATTTCTATTAAAACTCATCTAATTTTTTACGATATGTATATTTCATTGACCTCGAATAAATTCGTTCATTCATGGAATTGTGTATTATCTCTTATGTATTGTATGTATTTATGTTCCTTACCATACAAAAACCCTCTGAAGGTTTTTAGTAGTGTAATATAATAAGTTATTATTATTATTATAATCTATAATTTAAGCACAGTCCTCTAGTAACTAGTAACCGTGTTTAATTATAGCCCCATGGAACTATAGTTCCATGATTTATTTTGAAATGACAGAAACCTGCAATTACAGTGAAACGAAAAGAGCCGTATACTGTCTTCACACTCGTTGGAATACTTTTTAGTATAGTATAGTATATTTTATTTGACACTAAATAATATATTTTGTTACATTATCTGTTGTCAAAAGACATTAAATATAATAAAACACAAGTTCACACACGAGACAAAAGAAAATACATAAATAACTAAAATACATACATGTAATTATCACTCCATGTATTTAATATTATTGGATTAATAAGATGATGGTATGCAAGGGTGTGATATGCCACAGCCTACAGCCACATGTTGATGGTATTTAATGCGATCAAGTGGCATTTTGTACATACTGGTAGACTGCTTATTTTTAGAATTGAATTTTGTTAACACAGCATTAGCCTTATTAATGCTGGTAGTTTTAGTGCAATAATGGAAGAGTTTTGTATCAAAACAACTTGTACCGGTAATTCTGAATTAGTTAGAGATATGTAAACTACTAGCTGCCAGGAATGTTAACGATCCAATAACTTGGGGACAGGTGACAAAACTAGTGAGGGGACTACATTCTGAGTTGCTGTGACTTCCTGCCTAAAAAATGAAAATGAAAGTCAATATATTTTGTTCACAGTTGACTGGTACATATTTTAGAGTGATGTACCAAATGCACATTGTGTAAATTCCAGTGTTTTCAAATTCTGTTCACTAATCTGATTCTCCAATATTTTATCTTTTGCAGGAAACAGTTTTGAAAAGCTACAACACAGAATACCACAACAAAACTGATACCACATTTCGTGGCAGTGGTTATACAAGTCTGGCAATCATTTACTCAGTCTTTGCTGCTTCAAACTGGGTAGCACCCTCTGTAGTGTCGGTCATTGGACCCAAAAAATCCATGTTAGCTGGGGGAGTGATGTATGCACTCTTTATTGGCAGTTTTATTCAACCCACTGTCTGGGCACTTTATTTGACTTCAGTTCTAGTCGGTATAGGTGCTGCAGGTAAGCTGCTTCTGTTTTTAGAAAAAAACACTGTACATTCTGTAAAATACTTTATTTTAGTTGGAATTAATTTTCGCTGGAAAGACTTTTTGGGGTATTTTGTATGGAATTTATTTTCACTGATTTTTCGATGAGTTGAATAAAAAATATTGGAAAAAAAGTATATTCCCTGGATTTTAATTTCACTGAATCATTCCTTCAGCGAAAATAAGTTCCAAGCGAAAATAAAGTATTTTACAGTATGTTAAATTACAAACTGTGATATTACAGGTACGTTACTGACACAAATTAGCATGATTCAATAAGTGAAATCAGAGATGGAAGGTTCTGAAAATACTTTTATAAATACATAGTTAATGTATATAAATAGGTTTTCACGGTACAGATAGTTGTGATGTATGTTATTAAAATGATGCCATCACTCTTGGTATATTGGACCAGTACAGTTTTCATATTTTTTTATATTTTTCATAACTATTTATGCTAATTTATGATATATACACATCTGATATTATTTAACTTGAAATTGTACTTGACAAATCTTACTCTTGCAACATTAATGCTTGTGCCATAATCACATACTGTTTAAATTGAAAGGCGGCTGGTGGGTTCACTTTTATTTTTAGTGTGTCATCCTTTTACTTTTACTGGCACATATATGTTTTCACTTGATGATTTGTTTGACAGCTAGCACGCGTACACCGTCAACGGCACCAGAATCATTATTAACAATTCTATTGTTTTATTTTTGCTATTTCATTAATTTTTACTTGCCTTTGTTTTTCAGTAATTTGGACTGCGCAGGGGAATTTCTTAACAATCAACTCAGACACAGAAACAATTGGTCGCAATAGTGGTATATTCTGGGCATTGTTGCAATGTAGTCTTTTATTTGGAAATTTGTTTGTATATTTTAAATTTAAAGGAGAAAGTAGAATTACAGGTAAGGATTGTTGCACTCTGAAATGGTACACTATTGACCAAAGTAAAGACAAACACCCATCTTTCATACAAAAAGTTATAATAAAATGTCTGACAAAATTCAAAATCACAGTAAATATACTCTCAGCGCAACAAATGTATTTCCTTCATCTTTATAAATATTAATAAATTTTAATGACAGTTGAATCCAACCAGTCAACTAGCACAGTGCGCAATTACATCATTTGAAAACATTCTAATGTTATTCAGTCAGCAAAGAGAAATTTGAATTGTAAAATTTATAAATATTTATAAAAATGAAGGGTACACCTTTGTTGCGCTGAGAGAATTACTTTACTTTAGACGATTATATATTCATATGAGTATTGACAAGCAATCAAAGCAACGTAACTCACACAGATATTATCCAGAAAAAATACAATCCAGTCATTGGCTAGGGATTTAGTGACTGTACATGTAGGTTTATCTAAAAAACACACATATTTTAATTGGATGCAAAATGCAATAATTTAAGAGTTATTTCAGACTTTAGGCTACATAAGTCAAAGATTGAAATTACAAGTTCAAACTTTTGAACTGAATACTCAGTAATAAAAACAGTTTTTTTCCTTTTCAAAAGTTCAGGGCACTTTATAGTTTTTCTTTGTATTTATAAATTTTTGTTGGAGTTTGCACTAAAACCTTACATACTTGGATTGTACATTACAAATTGCATTTAATCTGCATGTTGTGAAGCGGACTAGGAAACATTTTTCAAAAAATTTCCTTATTTCTTATTATGAGAAGTCAATCTATTCCATCGGAAAGCAATGAAGTACTCCAGGAAATTTGGTTTTTATGTCTACACGAGTAAATACAAGAAAGAAAAAGTTGACTAAACATGTTAAATTTTCATTTCCGAGAAGGATTTGTTGTGCGTTCAGGAATGCCCTCAGGCCAAGCTTGCCCCAACAAAGCATATACATTGTTTCCCAAAAATCTTGAATACATTGACATTGGTAAAACAAAGGGATTATTTTGAGTTGAAATAATTTGGCAAATGTCTGTCGTCTGTCACTGGTTCTTTGTGAGCTCAAGTATGCAAAAAGTTTGCATGTAATCTATTCCAAACTGTCACATTTTATGCATCAGTATTAAATCTGGACTGTCACACATGCATATATTTTGAGATATCATAAAAATATGTTTGACCTTGTGGGCTTAATTTTTACTTTTGGTTCATTTTGTGATGGTATCTTCAAGACTCTAATTTGGTATTTTATTTTTTGTCATTTTTTATAAAAAGTGATTTTTTATTTTCATTACAATGTTTTCAATTCTTGTTATTTTTTTTTGGAAAAAATAGTTTTAACTTTTTTCAAACGTGTTAATTAAGATTTATGAAAAAAAATCCAGAACAGCAACAGTAAAAAAGAGTAAAATACATAAAGGAAAACATTAAAAATATATCTGTTTACATTCTCCAGACCATTGTAACATGGTAAGAGAACAAATATTACCCCCAGCATGCGTATGAATATTTGGTGAGACAAATGCAGTTCTGTTACATGCATGGTTTGTCTTATTAAATTTGTTCACTTTGTATCAAAACCTCAAATTTCACATACCTCCAATAGATATCCATTTGGTCTAAGAAATCTCAAATTGTTTATTTACATGATTCTTTTAGCATTTGCACGAGTACTGATATTTTACACCCTAATATTTTCAACTGTCTCATCCCACCTCATGACGTTAGGTGTGTTCATTGCCTGCCCTCTTGTAAAAAGGGCAAGACTGTAATAGTTTCCCAATGTTCTTTTGTCTTAGATGAAACTCGTATTACTGTGTATGTAGTGTTGCTAGTATTGGCTGCTATTGGTATTTTATTATTCTTGTTATTGAGGAGTAAACGTACAACTGACACAGAAGATTTATTGAATATTAATGTCAGGTAAGTGCCATCAATGTGATTCAATCATCATGGCAATGTCTCTGCTAGTAGTCATCAACTTAGCTTTTATACCTGACTATAGTGTCGCATGTGCCACAATCTTTTTTAGTGACTTTCCTCACTGAGCATGCTGTACATATCATTACATACTATTTTCTAGTATCAGCAAAATTTTGAATACATAAATGCAAGAAAATCATGAGAAATTATATTCAGAGTTACTGGTATGTGTTTGTTTTGGTGTAGCAAGTCTTAATTAATTGTGAGAGTATTTTGAATACTGATTGCATAAAATAAATATTAAATAAATAAATACTAAAATGTATTCTCACCAATTATTTAAAATGTTTTTCAGTGGAGAGGAAACACAGAGGGGACCTCTTCAGGCATTCAGTAAGTACATCATCTTTGTACAATACCGGGTATGTTTAATTGTGACTCATGATAACCATATTTGCTTGTAATTCTGTGCAGTAATTTTTTTTTTTATTATAAATGCAATCCTATGTACCGATATGTTGGGTTTAGTGTTGGTTCATTTGATGTTTGCAGTGGTGCAGTGATATATATATATTTTATTGTAAATTAGACATTTATTTAAATTTTATGTCATTAAGGCTTTTATATACTAAATTTAGAAAAATGAATGAATACCTTATGACTTGTATGTAACTGTCATTGTATTTGTACATGTCCTTGGCATCTCATTCTGTCTGTGTGTCTATCAATTCTTCCGTGTTTAGATGTTTTCACTTCCTTAGCAAGTCCATTATTTTTTCCTCATGCTTCATTTAAATCTGCAGAAAATGCTTTCATTGGCAATTTAGTAACACTCATTAACTACCTATGTGTTTTCTTCATTGGCATCTTGAACACATGGTTATCGGTCTATTGGTTTTCTATCATCTTTTGAATTATGAAACATTTATAAATATTTATATGAAATAAATTCATACTCCATAAAATGCACAGTGCCACTTTATTTCTTTTACTGTATTTCTCTGAAACATCACCCATCCCAAGAGATCACCCTTTGGGTGATGTTCCAGCACCTGGGTATATGGCAAAAAAAAAAAAATAGTGAAAATAATCTTTTTTTAACAGTAATAGGATACAAGTTAGCATCAGCAAGCAAATGTTCATCCTAATGTTAATATAAACATTAAGGTGATATTTTCAGTGAGCCGAAGGTGAGGGCCGAGATGAATTTCTATACATAAAATATTATTATTATTTTATTAAATGGCACACCCTAAGTTGTTTAGATCATCAAAGGTAGGAGGACAGGGGTTAATCTGATTTATATCTTTTGTTTTTCTTGTTTCAAGTCTTAACTCCATTGTAAATTTTTCCTTTCCACCCATCATCGGTTTCGCTTATTTACTCAACAAAATAGTTGTAAATTGTTGAAAATGGAATGGTTTTCAAATTTAGGATTTGTTTTCACAATAACTTTTTTTTGGAGTTGGTAAAATGTTGCAAACCTTATTCTGTTGGCATTAATACACACACAGGCAGTGCTTATTTTTATTGTAATTCATTATTATTTAGTGTTATTTTATTAGTGTAATTTAGGTGTATATGTATGCTACAAATATATGTATGTAGAATGGAGCTCTATGTGTGTAGCTACAGCTGATTTGGCAGTGAACGACTTTGTTTGTTCATGGACATTGCCTTCAATATTAGTAATCCATGTGTAATGTGCAGTGACTTTATATAAGAAAATGGGTTTTATAATAGCATTAAGTAGTTTAATAAGTATTTCAGCATCTATGTTGAAGAGTGTTTAGCTGAGAGCAGAGCTTTCATAGCTTTTTTGTCTTGCTGCTTTGAAATCTCACGTTGATGTCATCAATATAGTTGGATAAGTGTAACTACTGGTAGTTACTACTGATGAATTTATTTTTGTATAATAGCATTTCTGATATTTGAGTGACCCTTTACTGAAAATAATGACTCCAAAATTACTAGGTTCATTCAGGTTTTACTTGCAAATAATGCATATTTTGGGTTGCAAGTAATGTTGTTTTGTTGAAATAGGTTTTTTTCTCCACTATATGTATTTCTCTAGATCTACATTACTGTCTTAAAATTTACTTTAATGTCAGTGGCTTAATTTACAATGGGATTTTGTAATGACCTCAATTCTCCTTTTATTTTTTGACAATTTTTTGTGACAGGCACTCAACATGCATATGATCTATTAGCTAGATTTGGTATGTACATGTAAACTTGTAATACCGCTTGTGAACATGTGTACTTGTATCAGTGTGTCATGTGATATACCACCAATATTGTCTTGATTTATTAGTGAATATTTTTTTTTTGTAAAGTTTTAGGCAAATATATTTTTTTTTGAAAAACAAATAATTACCATAGTAACCATTGTCACAGTTACATGTATTTTTGATTTCCCTAGTTGCTATGCTACTGACCAATAAGAAACAAATGTCTTTCACTAGTAGATGTCCATGGGTATTGCGGGCATGGCTTTGACATACTTTATACTAATATATGTATGGATACGATCATACCAAAATATCATGATTTCTGTTATTTGTCCTCTTTCATCGGTGTGCTTGAATAAATAATAGTGCTTTTCTTTCAAAGACAGTTTGGCCTGAATGACCTCAGTAACCAACATGTTATATAATAAGGCTGATGTCATAAAAACCATGTGCAAAATCTTGATGCCTGCATGTCTTGTAGCCTAGCAACTAGAGATCCTAAATTTTGAGTCTTTCACATCAAAACATTTTCAAAATTCTGTTATTTTAAATAATGGGTTTGTGAATTTTAGACCAAATTACTATAATGTGCTATTCTGTCATATTGACAAATCAATTTGTAATACTGTAAAATACTTTATTTTAGCTGAAATTAATTTTCGCTGAATAGACTTTTTGGGTGTATTGTATGGAATTTATTTTCACTGATTTTTGACGAGTTGAATGTAAAATATAAAAGGTATATTCGCTAGATTTCATTTTCACTGAATCATTCCCCCAGCGAAAATAAAGTATTCCACCTTAGCTGTCTTAATGTGTTAAATGTCTGCTGATTGTGCTTGTAAAATGTTTTTTTTAATTTTTTTTCCATTATCATGCTTTATTTCAAGTTTTCTATATATATGGTATTTTTACATTTACAGAACGATCTTTTCAACTGCTGAAGACAAAAGAAATTTTGCTTCTTTCTGTATGTTTTGCATATACAGGTATGCCATCTTTTATTAAACCCATATTTTGAAGAAAAATGTTCATTATATTAATAATCAGCAGTCTCTTACCAGAAATCCCTCAAACTAGCATGATTCACTGTTGAAACCTTGAAAGCAATTTACCACTAAGAGTACTGATGGTATGCTAAATTTATATAATTATTATGTTCACATGTAAAAATTTTCTTGAGGGCAGACACAATCAGGGAGGGACTGCGGGGCAGAGTAGAAAAAAATATAAGTTCCTTAGTGATTGTAGCTAAACTACCCTTTGTTATATGTTTATATGAAAGAAGACTTTCTGTAATACCATACACAGTCTTCCCACTTTAGCAGACAGTCAGTTAGCACTCTGGATTTGAATAGGCACTCTGCAAAGGTCTTTAAACAAACCCAAAATTATATATCTCCTGAAAACTCACATCATTTGTGAATATTATAATATTCCTAAAATCTTTCCTCTCCAGGTTTTGAGTTGACATTCTTCAGTGGGGTGTATGGTACCTGTGTTGGTAACACAACTTATTGGGGTCCAGAAGCAAAAAGTTACATTGGATTGTGTGGAATACTTATCGGTGTTGGTGAAATATTTGGTATGACCTATAATTTATTTTTTTTATTGAAGAGAGTGTAAATGTTGTTAGAGCATCGTATGTCTCATAGCCACAGTCAGCTGATGCACACGTGGTAATAAAATAAATACGATATTTACTATATGGGGGGCCGCCATCTTGAATGCAGCATAAAACTAAATAAGAGACAAGTTGTGAAATGCGTTTTTCAGATTCCTACAAATCAGGACAAAAATACCAATCTTTCACAGAAATACGATATATTGGGATAAGCCAGCCGATAACAAAATTCAGTCTAATTCGTCGTTATTGTGTGGAAAAATCCCTTAAATAAGAACACCTAATTACACGAAG